CATTCGAGTGGTCAGCATGCTATAGCCATGGCATTTGAGTGGTCAGCATCACATAGCCATAGCATTTGAGTGTTCAGCATCGTATAGCCATGGCATTCGAGTGGTCAGCATCGTATAGCCATGGCATTCAAGTGGTCAGAATCGTATAGCCATGGCATTCGAGCAGTCAGCATCTTATGGCCATGGCATTCAAGTGGTCAGCATCATATAGCCATGGCATTTGAGTGGTCAGCATCATATAGCCATGGCATTCGAGTGGTCAGCATCGTATAGCCATGGCATTTGAGCGGTCAGCAACTTGTAATACTTAGTAGTCAGATTTATTTAGACTAGTTATAATGCTGACTATTATTACACGATGAATTTACCTCTGAATCAAAGTTTGGGTTTGTGTCTATGCTGCCTTTCATATCGTCATAGTAAACTGTAAATATATTATTCATATACGATTATTGACAAGTCACGCAATGCTGAACCAAACAGCCTGTAAAGTTTTCAAATTAAGAAAAAATGTGATGGTTTATCCTCAATTGTAAAAACAATGGTCTTGTGTTTGAACCTGACTTTGATGATGGTACATGCTACATCCATGTCTTAACCCCTACCTTGTGTGTACAAGAATGAACTCACTAATTATCCCATGGACTTGTATCGTAATAACCACTCTGTATCATCAACATTCTGCAAATGTACGTGTATGTAGAGCCACACTAAAACACCAGTACAATTCGCAATTAACAACAAAAAAAGCTTAGAAAGAACTTTTGTATGATGTAAATGTATTAAAGACAGAGCGGATGCAGGATATGTAGTTAGATGACAGTCATATATAGTCTGGGTAAACTCAATGACCCAATTATACATTTGTCGGTGTAACAAAAATACTTCTTTATTACATGTTTAAAATTTAAAAAAATGATGAGACAAACATATGAATTTGTTTTTTATTTTTAATTTCCAAACAAATTTATGCTTTCTCTGTTATGTACCGTAATCATCATTATTATCATAAATTCAATAAAGTAACAATGTATTTTAATAATGAAAAAAAATAATGTGGAAGGCACTTTGGCAATTCATTTTGTTCGTCATGGAATTGAGAAATGCATTGCATGACGATTTAATGTTCAATTTACCGTTAATGTCTTTAGTGTCACTAAGTGTACATCATAGTTACATTTCTAGTTATACTAACTCAAAACGAGTTGACAATGATACATATTCTATAGTCATAGTTAGACAACATCCACGTTTATCTACTAAAGAATAATCCAAAGAAATGGCCATCTATTATATAAACGAGTAATTCATACTCCTTAATAATAATAATTATTATACATCTGTCACCGTAACGCCATAAGTTACAGCGTGACGTAGTTTTGCGGTATTTTACAGGGTATTTTCATCCTACCATATATGGAAATGCAAATTCCAAATATGGAATGATTATGCACGTAAGCGTCCTTTAATAATAAAAACAAACATGGCTGCCATCAGGGTTTGACCGGACTCCACACAGAAGTTCGCTGATTCTGTTGTAAAGTTTTTGGATTTCGGCATTCCCATGATGTATCCTTGAAAGGAAAAGATGTATAATAATAAGGTTATTACGAAAATACCTCAAAGTATGCACTCAGACAGTACGCCGTGCATCACCTCCGCTGCGCGTCGGTCGATACTCCAGCTGTACTGTCTTCGTGCATACTTCAAGGTACTCTCGTAATAACCTCATAATATTCATGACTATTCATCTATGCGTTTTAATACAAAAAAATTACATGGTTGTGGTTTCTTCAAATGACATTGTTAAATTAGATACTGCACATACAATTTTATCTTTCTACATGTATTTTGAAAATTGTTCATGTTAGAATGAAGACATTTTTCCAGTTACATGTAAAGTCAAAGGGGAATTTATGTAAGAAAATACTTATCACTATTTATTTTTCTGTGATTGTGAAAAAATTACATGCATGAGTATAGTGCAACTTGCCATAAAATATATCAACTCATAGTTTTTGAATAACTGGTCACAAGTAACTTTAGAAACAAAATAGCTAACAGTCTGCATAGCCTACAATGGTTTGTGTTTTTGTCAAATATAATCAAAGCAGATATCTAATCAATTATTGAATTATCAGAGAGCAAACACAGATAAATAAATGAAAGCCATGACACTACTTCATGAGTGGTTCAAAAATTCGAAAAACTAATAGAGTGCATTATCAGGGGAGGAGAATGTATTCAATATTATTTTTGCACATTTTTAGCCATATGAGAATTCACATAAATATTGCTATACAAATTTTATCCTATGTCACATAATGGAAAACAAAATAAATTGTGTTGTAATATCATATGCTAATATTTATTGTCAATTGATTCCAGACTTGAGTGTATGCATCTTAATAGTATGAAATATGAAGACTGTTTTATATTCAATTTATTCTGAACCTCTCCTCAATACAGATCTCATCATTAATTTAGTCATAGACCACATTTAGAACAAGAATTGCGAAAGCTGCCTGTTGCAGAAGAGCACCGTGGTCATGGAACGATTAAACTAACAAATATCACACCATGATGGAAGCCTGCAATTACTTTATGCTTAGTGGTGATAACAGAACAAGGTTTATGTTTGAAATTGGCCTATACATGTAGTACAATATTGTTATATGTAAGCTCCATAGATATTTCATTAAAATTGTAATCTTTATTTCGAGTAAGTTTGAAAATGAGAACTAGTGTTACAGTTTTCTTTTTATTATTTTGATGGTTATACATAAAATAATGGCTACCATGATGATGTGTGTGAGTAAGACTGATTAGTAAGACTGATCAAAAAACCTTTCAATTGAATTCTTTTGAGAAGAGGAAATTTATCATCTTTGTATTGCTATTTAAACATCTTTTTTAAAGAGTCAAATTTATATAAAATTAATCCTTCATAAAATAATATATTTCATATATCTTAATTAAAGAGAGACTGCACTGAATTGAGGAAATTATCATTGAATTCCTGTTCTGAAAACCTAACCACAGATTTGCGGGCATTCTTCCTCATCTCCATTCTTTGCTGGGCTGGCATCTTTAGAATGGTTTCCATGGCATTGGCATAAGACTCTTCATCATTCGCAAGGAAACCAGTAGGTTTGTCATTGTAGTTTATGACAATATCCATCTTGGGACCACCCGATTTGTGTGCAAGGATAACCGTACCAGCCGCCATGCACTCAACCACACCTATCGTACATAAAAGAGGATAAGATGTACTAGTATATTATTATACATCTGACACAAAAAACAATAGATTTATCTATGGTACACACACTGACATGTCATTACATGATTCAGTGTCACCTTATGACACTACATTATAATTCACTGGCACACTTAATTTTTTGTATATGCTACTATAACCATGACTTTGTGATAATCAATGTTTGTAAACATCTCAAACCTATTAAGTAACTAATGTGATCTTTTACTACTAAATAATACAATGCCTTCAAGTTTGTTTTTAAAACTTCATATGTACCGAGACTTCTTCAAAAAAATTAAAACCAACACAAATTGCATTGAAATAACTGGCTGTTTTTTGTTGTTGACTGTAAACTTAACTTTCTCTCTCACCTGATGCCTAAATTAGAGTTACCCCAGTCACTGTGCATTATAATAAACTGAAATGCACACTGGCATATGTCACCATACATGTATATTATGATTCATTGGTGCACACTGATATGACAATGTAAATTATTATTCACAGGTATAATGCACATACTTGTTATTACATTGTATCATGGGAATCAGAATAATGTATCCTTTGGAATGAAAAAGACTGAAAAAGACTGAAAAGCTAAACACAAAAACATGTATGATATTTCACTTACCAATACCGAAATGTTCATTCCACATAGTGTGGAGACCAATGGTAGCCTCTCCAAGGTATTTTTTCAACTCATCAAATGAAACGTTTAATTTAAATTCAACATTAGATCTGATTTTCAAGTCCTCGCATAGTTGTCTTAATTCATCTACCCTAGCTGCATCTCCCTGATTTCGGCAGCTACCCACCAATATCAGCGTGAGTCTATCCCGCTGTGTTTCCGATGTCGACCGAAGTAGTCTTTGAAACGAAAGCAGCTGTAATCTATGATCTTTTTCAGGTCGGAAACTGAGCAACGGACACAATTGTGTGATTAAGTTTTGTGCTGTCATCTTCGAGGGGTAGTCTTAGAAAATCTTCAGTATCGCATGGCGGATACACTATCGATGTTTTCTCTTTAACACCCCACAAGTCCTGAATGTGTCCGTGTGTCCAGGTAGAATTGACCATCACTATGTCAGACCTTGCACCAACCACACCATACACGTACGCGAATATACGATAGTACAAAACTTTCAAGCTCGTCAGTACTGAACTTTGCGAAACAACGTCTTGGTTATTGTATGTCTGTCTGCGTTCTCGGACACGCGAAAGCATGTCAGTACTAATTGTTGGATAGTGAACGTAGCAACCAACTTTACATCCACCCAAATACTTGAACATCGGTAGAGTGAACGCATAACCCATGGAATCAATGTAAATATCGGGTACACATTGCATCAATCCTTCCCATCCCAGCATCAGTGAACCTAAACTCTGGCCAAGCAGTGTGAAATAAGGCCATGTTGTAGCTTCTACCCAATTGCGTCGCTTTAGGAAGATAAACTCAACAGGTTTTTTGACAACTATATTAAATCGCTGTCTCGCTTTCTGGATTATCTCTGGACCTGTTGCATCCTCATCGCCAGTGTAAACAACACATTTTATATTTTTATATCTGCAAGCAAATATATTAATATAAAAACATTAAATTTTATAATTCCAAAAAGAGGCACAAGTAGCATTTTTTTTTTTAATTTTTTTTTAATTATTACCGAACTAGAATAATTTTGGGGGTTCCAAATGAATGATAAGTAAATAAAAAAAAACATTCTGTGCCTATCTACATGTAGATGCTATCATAAACATATTACATGAATATGGATCACAAAATTTGAACAAATTTGTGGAAAAACGCAGCTTGTAAGCCTTTAAAATTAATTTACGGTTGCAAAATTATCATTATTAATTAAAGTGAAGCAATTACAAGTAATACAACGAAGCCACCCAACCAAAAATGTTTATTATTGCATAAAAAAAAAGGTAAAAAATTGAAATAGATGTAATAGTGGTCGATGCCCTACTTCTAAGACTGTTTGTGGAAGTCATGTATATTTATACTATCTAAAAGACATTATTAAATAACTGCATATACACCTTCTAATTAAAGTTTTAAAATATAGACAATAAGACAGTATTTATGCCATCCACAGAAGATGCATATATTTTAAGGTGAATTGTCACACATGAGTGATAGAAAAAGATAATTAATACTCCAAATGTTAGAATGAATCTTGCATTTCTCCTAATTAACTACTCAGCATATTTCAACATTTAGTAATTATCCATACTCTACACCACATTTACTTAGCAGCTTTTACTACCTGTGCATTGTAACATACATAATTAGCGATAATGTTGTATGCAGCTCAAACTAACTTATCATGGTGAAAAAAACAGACCTTAGATTAACCGATACATGCATGAATATGCAATCCCAAAAACTCCTCGTAAACCCTTTTAAAAATACATGAGATAATTTGTTATCAGCATTATGCAAGGTACTAATACCATACGAGTAAATACAAGTTCACCTACTGCAATATGTCAATGAGTTTAATTTTTTTATTTTGCTACATGCACTAAATACGTAATACTGTATTGATCTGAAATTTCGGCAACGGCAAAAGATCGTCTAAGAGTGATGTTTTAGCACCTTTTGATGCTGCAAAAAATAAATAGCATGAAAAATAACGCAGTGGCAAAAATAATTGTTTTTTCATCTGTGCAAATTAATAGAATATAATTGGCTTTGATCAAGAATATCACACACATAACGATGTTTGTAGAAAGTGAGCAAATCATTAAAGAAACTGGTACTCTTGTTTTCCCCAAAAATTATATAATGCAAGTACATTGAATAATTTAGAGGCACACTGGGAGTTGACTAGGGGAATGTTCCAATCTGATGGGAATATGCATTGCTTTAAAAAAACTATTTGTCTTGCTACATGTAATAACATCTTGCGATTTATTGAAATATCGTCACTGGTACGAAATGTTGTGATCTCCAGTCAGGATGTAAAGTGATGCATCAAGAGTTTCATAAGTTTCTTTTAGAATGTGAATTACTTTCACAAACATCTAATCCACTAAAATTAAGTTTTAAAAATTAAGTAGTATGTCTGTGGAAGCTATATTAATTAGGAAAAATTATTTTAATTTAACCATGAAGGAGACTTACTTGCTTTGTAAAGCATTAATCGCACACCAAAGTACTCTCTCACCACCGCCCCCCGCATTACAGTATGGATGGAAGAATCCCACAATTTGAGGAATGGAACCATCTGGGTTTGGAGTCTTCAAATGAGGAATCAGTTGCATGGATCTTTGTTTAATCCATTGTCTCATACCAAGGAATAGTAGAACAGTGATTGGTATTAGTATAGCACCAACAACAAGCAGTAGAACCAACATGCTGATCAATAAACTGTAAATATAATAATAATATGCAGACAGTTACAAATTTGGAAAAACCAGAGAATCAGTGGGCTGTTTGTATCAAGGTAATAACAATTACTTGTCCAGAAGACATTATAATTCAGACAGTACACTCTTCTTGATTTATACATGCATTACATGACAAAGTGAAGCAATCAAAAACATAATCATGCATCACATTACACAATGAACCAATAAAAACATGTGCATCATCACATGACTCTGTGAACCAATCAAAAAGTTACACATCATCACATGACTCAGTAAACCAATCAAAAAGACATACATGCATTACTTGACAAAGTGAACCAATCAAAAACATACGTTCTCAAGATGCATTCCTGACTTTGAGAGATTTTATAAATAAATTTATTGATTGATATATTTTCATGAAAAATGATACTTTTCAATTATATTTGCACCATGGTATTGAGCCTCATGTTTATATGGGGATTATATACATTTAGACATTTTCGTCTTGATCCATCAACACCCATGTATCAAAATTAGTGGGGGCTAGCAAATGTATTGGCAGAAAAACAAACACAATTTTGAACTCAAAATATTTTCTATTTTATATTAATGAGGTTCTTCAAGGCCATGTGATGAAAATACATGTACACAAATGTCCAGTGATTTTGTGAAGATACCACTAGCTAGTATAAATGAAGTCTAATCTGTACTGCGGTACTCCCAGGGTGCATCTCACTCTCAGCTGAGAAAGACCAAACTATGTTTATACATACAGGTAGACCATATTTGTGGATGTGATGCCATTGTCTCAGAGAAATTCATTTACCTAATTCTATGTAATCGAACTTCTTCGAGATAATTGTCAAATCAGGACTTTAATTACACTTTCAAAAACAATATCCTAATCACCATGTACTATTGTACACAACCTCCTTCAGTAGGTTGTTATGAGTTAATAAATTGTTTAAGTACAACTAAAGCAATAGTGACATTATGGTGGCTTTTTTGCGGTATAGTGAATGTAATTTGATGTACTTACGAAGTAAAAATCGATACCCACACAACCAACATGATAATACTAGAGGACATCAGAATAATCACTGTTGAGCAGCTCAGAACATCGCATGGACTGATTGTAAGACGTGTCACTTCTACACCAAGTTCCGTGTCCTAGTTATGACGAGGTCAATCGAAAGATTGCCTCATTTTAACCTTTGACCTTTGAACGTGTGTCGTCGAGGCGAAAGAACTGAGTGATACAATACAGTGTAAATTGTGCCAAATTATTTTTTTATATGAAAACCATTCGAACCCACCAACGTCACTGTTCTGAAGCCTGTAACCCGGCCGTTTATATTTTTGATACAAACGCTATGCTACGCGTGATTGATGTGCTCGCTGTAAAAGCACGCCCTCTATGTCGTACCGACAAAGTATGAGGTATTCCCAAATGTCGGACACAATGACGACAAAGCGTCAAAAAAAATACCGTTCACAGGTAAATTTCTTGATCTGTAGTCGCCCATCAATACAGTTTTTACAAAATACAAATAGTTAATCCATTCTAAATGATTAATAATTTGAATAATAATACAAAATGTACCCATATACGCCCTTTT